GCTAGATTTTTCTGACTTGTTTTGAGCATACTATAGACATTTTTGGAATGATGTAAAAGTCTTTCCTATTTTGACAGGGGTGGGCGTTGGTGGAGAGAAACAAAATCCAGGGAGAAACAAAAGGAATGCAGGTGTGGTAGCAGGGAGCAGGGTAGCTGCCTCTACACAAGAGTAGGAGGAACTAATTCACGCTAGGGTTTTGATGGCCAGCAACTACTTCCTGTGTCTGCCTTTCCAAAGAGGGCTGTGCTTTAGAAACAGTTGCTTAAACTAGGGTTGCACGCATTCCAGAGAAATCAGTCTCTAAAATTTGAGATTCAAGCATTCAATGATATTACAGTTTTGGTGCTGGCTGGTATTTATTAAAATAAAAACTTGATACAAATTAAATGTAACAGAGTTTGAATGAGCAAAGAAAAATTCGTAAATCGGGCAGCCTCAGAACGAGAACAGGTTCAGTGACCTGCCTGAAACACATCCTGGCTGTGTTTTGTGTACAGAAAAGAGAAGTGAGGTACAGAGACAGCTGGCTTGGCTTCTCTGCCTGTGATTGACTGCATCTCTGCTGCTGTGATTGGCTGAGACTCAGCTATCTGTTACAGAAGTATACATCCTAAGTTAGGCTTTCACTTAGTTTACCTACTAAACTAAGTTGCAGTTCCTTATGTAATGACTCAAGTGTGGAGGCATCCGCAAGCCAAATTTGGTTGAATTTAACATACTGTTTAGCTTTTCTGTGTCTGATCACATGGATAATTTGCCCAGAGCCCCTTTATGTCCTGTGATACCAAGCACAACGCCCTTTGAGATGAGCTGGGGCAGAAGCCTCAAGGGTGGGACAGTCTGATTGAAACTTTAAACTCAAAGTTGTGAATCACAAGAGTTTTCTAATGCTTCTTGGTACTCTCCTGATCCCTACCCCAACCCTTTCCAAATCTTTCTTCTCATCCTGGTAAACTTCTCCTTTCTACTATCAAGGAAACTGTCCTTTATCAAATAAATTAAATATAAATTAAAAATTATAGACAAAATAAAATCATACTAAAGTGGTAGTGGCTACCAGGAGCTTAGCTTGTTGTCCTTCCCATGGAGATATTTGTCATTTCAAAGGAGATACTTAGGAAAGGTAATTCTGATTCAAAAGAATGAACCTCTAATATGAGAATTTACATAATAAGGTAGCAAAAGTGGGAGGATTTTTGAGGAACAGGTTCCTTCTTGGAGGTATTCAAACACCCTGCCTTCCAGAGCAAGGCAGGTCTGCCTGAGTCTGAGGGGTGTGGGCATGAGTGCCTTCCCTTGCTTGCTAGCCTATTCACTCCTCACTCAGCCTTGCTCCCGTCAAGGTCTCCAGCAGGGCTCAGTATGGAGAAACTGCTGCCACCCTTTAGAACCTGCCGCCAGCCTGATAGAAGGGTCCTTTCTCCTCCTCAGGACTCTGTAGTGTATACACAAGTGGCTTTATTGGATAAGCTAGCATCAGATGAACATGCCCACTGTAAATGTTGCTTCAGTTTTTAATTAGAAGAATTGAGACCCAGTACGTAGATGATTTTGTGTTTTGCCTTTATTTCATCCTAACATTATTGTTGGAGATGTATCTGTGCATTTGTAAGGTCACAAATTTATTATTTTTTAACCTTTTAGTATAACTATGGGAAAGCACACAAAGCAATACAGAGACTGCTCAGTTGCCCAGTAAATCGTCACAAACTGAGCACACTGGTGTAACTGACACCCAGATCAAGAGACAGCAACGCTGGTACCCTAGAAGCCCCCTCATCCTCTATGCAGTCACTGTTCTTCCAAGGGTAACCGGCACCCCACCTTCTAACACTGGAGATGAGTGTTGCCTGTTTTGGAACTCTGTATAACAGGAGTAAGAAAGAATGTACTTTTTGTGTCTGGCTGCCCCCACCCCCACTCCTTTTTGATTTTTGAGATTCTTTGATGTAGTGTATAATCCTAGTTTCCATGTTTTCGTTGCTTTATAATATTTCATTGTGTAAGTATACCACAATGTATTTATCTCTTCCCCTGGAAGGTGTTTGGGCAGTTTCCAGGATGGGGCTGGTATGAGTAATGCTACTGTTAGCATTCTCATACGTGTCTTTTGATGCCCATGTGTGCACATTTCTGTTGGTATATACCCAGGAGAGGAATTTCTGGGTCACAGGATAGGCATACATTCAGCTTTCCAACATATTGTCAGTTTTCCAAGGTGGTTGTACCAATTCACACGCTCTCCATCAGTGCAGGGGAATTTCATTTGCTTCTTGTCCTTGCCAACACTTGGTATTATCAATTTTTTAAATGTCGAGCTATTCTGGTAGATGCCTGTTAAATCTCACTGTGGTCTTCCCTTCATTTCCCTGATGAGTCATGAAGTTGAGCTTCTTCTCATGTGTTCCTTGGCCATTTGCATATCCTCATGGGTGTTTGTTGGGGCATTCCACCTGTTTGCTGTTGGGTAGTGTAGCTTTTCCTTATCAGTTTGTCAGGCGCTCTTTGATTCATGATGGATGTGAGTCCTTTGTCGCATGAATGCATTAGTGTGCAGGAGCCAACACACACTGGCTTTTGAGAGCTGATTTTAGCATCTCTTCCCGACTCTGTCTTCCGTGGCATCATGTTTGGCAGCTTGAAATCTGCCGTGGTGGGTGTGTTTATACCATAGAAATAGGCAAACTACAAATCGGGGTTTCCTCTCTTTCTTGGAGAGCTGGTTTACCAGTTCACCACTTGACAAGTGTATTGCAAATAGCTTATTTCAGTCTCTGGATTGCCTTTTCACTCTTTAATGTGCGTTTTGAGGAACAGAAGTTTTAAATCTTAATATAGCCTACATTATCAAAATTTTCTTTTGTCGTTAGAGCTTTTTGTGTCGTGTTTAAGAAATCTTTGCCTCCACCCCCATATTTATTTATATGGCTAGCTAATCATAATCAATTTTGCTTAACTTCCCCCCTACTGAAGCAGCACGGCCACGTACAGTTATAAAGATTGTTCCCAAGGGGGGATGCAGGGGCTTAGATCCAGACTTTGCTGTGCTCAGTAAGACATGGCTGAGACAGGGTTGCATTCCTTAGAGGAGGGGGCACCTTTTTCGAATTCTCACAAAGGCACCATATGGGCTAGTGGTGGGCCCAGATCTCTGACACCCTAAACCCCACACTGCCTCTCCAACCTGCCAAACTGCGCTGCCTGCTCTTTCCCTTCAGATGGGGCAGCTTCCTGCCTCCATGCCTTTGCTCTTGCTGTGCCTCCATCTCTACGTCATCACATTTGGAGTCTGTCCAGCAAAGCCCATCTCAGATACCCAATCCAGGCCCCTGCCATTTTCCCATCTTGTTATAGCGTGAATGTCCTCCCTCTTGTAGTAGGCTAACCTCCTTGAGGGCAAAGACCACATTGTTTGAATCGCTGATAATGCTTTGCCCATAGTAGGCATGAGTAAATCTGCATGAATGAGTGACTTGGCCAGCCTTTGGGCTCTTCGCAGAGAGTAATAGTGCACATCTCGACGGGTTACCTCTTCCAAACACTTAGAAGCTTCCTTGTCCATTTCTTTTCTGCTTTGTCCCAGTGGATGCCAGCTGGCTTGCTTTTCAGCAGTTAAATATGCAACCCTTTACATATCAGCTGTTTCATCTGCAGAACTACAGAGTATTTTACAAGTAATCACTTCATGCAGATTGCACATAAATCATGTCTGCTCTGGCCCTTTGGATACTAATGTTCCCTTATTAAGGCATAAGTAAGCCTTCCTGTTCTCATCCATTCTTTCAGACTTTTTTAAATTACTGAAAAGTAGAGCCTAGTTGTCGCTACACCACCTCCTTCCATTCCACCCACCCGATGCCCTCGTTGCTTTTTTGAGGTTCAGTTTGTTTTTCTGGAGCTTGCCAAATTGCCTTAGGAAGCTAGGCACCTTGTAAATGAATTAAGCAAAAGGAAATTCTTATCTCTAAAAGGAAGTGGTCACTGTGTTTCTGTGTGTGATGTTCTTGGCTGGTTAATATTTTTGTGAAATATGTTCTGATGGCAGCAGTGGTACCCCAGAGAGGAGGGAAGCATCCGTTATGCTTTGTACACAAAAGCAAAATCTCTTCTGCTGAAGTTGGAGGAGTGGATGAAAAGCTATTTCATGAAAGTCATTCTGCCCAAACAAACAGAGAGCCTTCATTGTTTTTCATCCCATGGAAGATTGGAAGCTCAGCTCACCTTAATGTGCCCATTACTTTAACGTTTCTTTATTTTCTTTTCAAACTGGAACTACAGATTTTTGCTCTAATACACGTGGATTTCTGCTTCCAATTGCTCTATCCCTGCTATTAGTGTTCAGTCAGTTTTCATTTTGGTCTAAAATGACTCTCTAAGAGCTTGGAAGCATACTATTATTTCCTGCAGTTTGGTCTAAAAATGAAGAAAAAGGGGACTTTCAGACAAGGCCCATAAAAATACCACCATCTACTTTTAGAGATGTTTTATGAATATAAATTTCCTGTCTAAATAATTACTGTTGAGGGTAGAAAGGACTTGGAGTTTCGAAATTGTAACAACAACTTATTCTGTCTTAGCAACCAGAGTGAAGGTGACATGTCTCTTGTTTTTTATAGATGGGCTGACACTATAATGCACTGTATTGCTTTTTAGATCCCATTTTTTATTCATGGATACAGATTATAGTGGAACTGAGGCAGTGGGAGGTATTATTTTCCTCAGATGGGGAAAAAAAGGTATAAAACAGGTATGCATTTGGTGTCATTTTAAAAAATCTCAGGACGGCTGGTAATAGTATCTTAGCAAAAGGGGAAGCCAGCCTGGGTACTGAGCACAGTCGTCTGTGTTCAGGTCCTATATTAAATTATACCCTCAGTTTCGTAAAGGCTGAGGTCTGTCATGTATTCTTCAGGAAAATTATGGCGTCTTTTATACTAGGGTGTTTAAAGACAAAATCTCAGGAAAAAATCACCTCCCCGCCTTTTTCCTTTGGCCAGCAGCTGCTGAAATGGGTTGCGGATTGAACAAGTTAGAGAAACGTGACGAAAAACGGCCTGGGAATATTTATTCAACTTTGAAGAGGCCTCAGGTGGAAACCAAGATAGATGTGTCTTATGAATACCGCTTCCTGGAGTTCACAACTCTGAGTGCCGGTGAGTACACGGGCTGTGCATAGACACGGGCAGGTGGGGTCTCCAGCAGGGGCCTACGGGGGATGGGGGTGCTGTTGGGAGAGCTGGATGGGGTAGGGGCTGTGAAGAAATGAAAAGGGCAGGCCTGTCTCAAGGGGGCAGCTTACAGAGATCCAGAGTTTTATGTGAAATCTCTCACTTTTTAAAAAATAGTGGCTGGGCGCGGTGGCTCATGCCTATGATCCCTGCACTTTGGGAGGCCAAGGCAGGTGGATTACCTGAGGTCAGGAGTTCAAGACCAGCCTGACCAACATAGTGAAACCCCATCTCTACTAAAAATACAAACAATTAGCCAGGCGTGGTGGCGGGTGCCTGTAATCCCAGCTATTCAGGTGGTTGAGGCAGGAGAATTGCTTGAACCCAGGAGGCGGAGGTTGCAGTGAGCCGAGATCGTGTCACTACATTCCAGCCTGGGAGACAGAGCGAGACTCTGTCTCAAAAAAAAAAAAAAAAAAAAAAAGGCAACTAATTACAATTTTAACAAATGAAAATCATGTGTGAGCCAAGCAATACATATGGATGGGCTGAATTTGGCCCATGAGCCAACCAGTTTGCAGACTGTTTCATAGCAAGCCCCGTGAAGAAGGAAGGTTTGCCGTCTCTCCTCGTATGAAACTTCCTGTCCACCCAAATTCACCTGCCTGTTGTCTGCCATCTCGCAAGAGGACTCATCCCTCTGGGCTTGGCTTTGCCTTGGCTGAGCCAGAGGGAGTTGGGTCACCTACCATGCGAGTGTCCAAGGACTGAGGAAGCAGGGAATAGCCCATGAAGACTGGGAAGGGATGGTCAGCATCAGCATCAGAGCATTTGCTGAACACCTGCTGTGTGCAGAGTGTTGGGCCAGTGTTGAGGGGGGAAGTTGTGAGGCATGTCCTGGCATCTTGCAGTGTTCTGTCTGATGGGAGACAGCAGACTCATACAAATGAAAAAACAAAAAGAATTCCACAGGTTTTAATAGTGAGTTGGAAAACACTGAAGACATGTTTTTGGAAGAGGAAGAAAATGCTCTTCTTTTTGGGTCCCAGGAGTTTGAGAGCAAAAACTGGGCACTATGTAACGAAGTCATCTGAACACATTATCTCCCTGGGCTTCTGGGTATACTTTAAGCTTCTATGATTGGAAAGGAGAATGAGTGGAAAAAGCCCTCAAGTTCATGGATTTGAGTCCTGGCTCTGCTTCAGAGTAACTGGGTAAATCACTGAGCTTCCCAGTCCTGTAGTGTCCTCATCCATAAAAGGAACACGGGTGTCCACTTCATGGGGCAGTTGTGAAGATTAGAAAGGTAGATATGTGTGAAGCTCGTAGCACGATGTCTGGCATGCAGTAGGGTCTGCAAGTGTTCTCTTCCTCCCCTCCTCCCCGACTACTCTCTGCTGTGACTATCTCCATACTGAGGCTCCAATTGCTTCTTGAGCTCTGAGAAAGGACAGCTGAGTGTCTCTGCAGGGACATGCTGTGCATCCCCTGCAACAAGTCACCACAACTGAAGCCAGCATCTTCCTTTTCAGATTGCTTCCTTCCAGTGCCCTTGATGAGTCAGTCATACCACCACCATCCTCTTAAATGTGCAGATACCTATGACCATGGTTTCCCCCTGCGTGTAGTTGCCATTCCTTCGCCCAAGCCTATTAAAACCATGTCTGTAAATGCCTCTAATATAGCTAATGTAATACACAATTATTTGGAGCATTTGGTCATGCATTTGGTCCTCCATTTATTTGTTCAGTGAATATTTAAGGGCCTACAATGTGCTGGGCATTGTGGGAGGATTAGGGAAAAACAGAAGCATGTCTAGGAGAAAAGATTGGAAGGAAATATTTAAGTATTAGGATGCTGAGATGATGGGGGAATTCTTTTTTCTCCCTTTTGCAGTTGTGTTTTTTTTTTTCATCGTGGTTATATGTCTTTAATTATGACGAAGAGTAGCTTTGCTCCCAAGAACCTTCACAAACACATGAAGTTTCCATGCAGTGCTTTGTCCCCCAACTGCTTCGTAGCTGGTCTCTGAATGATTTCCCTGACCTCCTTATTTGTTTGTTTCCCTGAGCTTCAGCTGCAGCATCCACACTGCTTTTGTGCATTGTGCTGTCCTTGATGGAATTATCTTTTGTTTTCTGATTATGAAATAAACATACACCCATTATAATGAGCTAGGACAACACTGGCGGATATCCCACATGGCCTCCCTGCTCCTGCCCTCGTCCTCCTACAGATCCTGCCAGAGCTCTCCTTTGGCTGTCGCCACACCAAGAGTGGCACAGCTCCCCTTGACCGCATTCTCCCACTGCTTGTCTTTGGTGTTCCGCTGCTTTTGCTTTGCTCTTTCGTGAACCTGCCAGTCCTTCTCCGGGCTTTTGCACTGCCTGTTCCTCTGCCTGGAAGTCCTCCCCCAGGATCCCCTTGCTCATCTTCAGAGAGAACAGGGTCCTTCTCTCTGAAACTTTCTTTGACCACCTCTTTAAAATTTCTACCTTCTTCCCAATTCCCCATGTCTTTCCCCTCTTGATTTTCTCCATAGCACTTCTTACCATGTAACCTGGAATATATCTTGCTTATTGCTATTTATTTCCTCTTTGTTGTCTGCCTTCCTTCATTAGAAGATAGAATCCCTTCCCACGAGTGCAGGGATTTTCTCTCTTATTCTCTGCTGCTCCCTCAGTGCTTAGGACAGTGCCTGGCACTTAATAGATAATCAGCAAATAATTGCTGAAAGAATACTCACCGTATGTTTTTGAATCCTGCTTTTATGCGACTTAATATTGTACAGTGAGGTGTGCACCTGTCATGCCTATGCTCGGAAAGTATGATTTAATGGCTATATATGATTTAATCACTCAGTATACCATAATTTATTTTGCAGTCCTCTTTTATTGGACATTTAAGTTATTTTGGGCTTTGGGCTATTACAAATAATGTTGTGATAAGCAATGTTGTCCATAAATCTTTGTACACATTTCTGACTATTTCCTCAGGAATTACTGAATTGAGGGATGCGAATGTCGGCACTCCTGATAAATTGCCCAGTTGCCCTGTAGATAGGACCTGCTTGTGTAAAACACACATCTGATTCTGCACAACTCTTTAGGGTGTTTCCCTGGATGGATGAAGTTGAGATTCAAGCCAGAGCTCAGGGCTTTCTGTAGCTTGGTCCTGCCCTTCGTAGATCCTCTCCCTATTGTTCCCTGGAGGATGGTGTGTCACGGCATTGCCTGCTGCCCCCGCCCAGGACCCTCTTTTCTCTGCTTCTCTGATTCAGTGCAGGCAGCCCTTTCTGCACAGGCCCCCACCTCTTACTGCTTGCTAGGACCCCACCCACCTGGATTTGTTCCTTCTTGACAACCATTCTATCAGAATTACTCTCTTGTGCACGCCTGTAGTTTGTCAATACCGTTCTTTTGACACTTTGATTACATCATATATTAAACCTATTTGTGCTTCCCTGGGGGCAAGGACCAAGCCTTGTTTATTTTTCTATTTGTCTTCCTTGTTCAGCTTTCTAGCTGAGATGAGCCTGTCCTGAATAGCTGGGTCCTAGTAAACCTAGAACTAAATGCTGACTTGTTTCCCTGGCGGTCTCTCATGTTTTTCTTCCAGGAGTTCTAATGAGATTATTCTTTATTCTCCAGAATGGAGCTGACATTTGTTGAGTGCTACTATGAGCCCAGTCCTGTGATAGGACATTACGTCTTGATCTCATTTTTCTTTCTTTCTTTCTTTTTTTTTTCGAGATGGAGTCTCGCTGTGTCACCCAGGCTGGAGTGCAGTGGTGTGACCTCGGCTCACTGCAACCTCTGCCTTTCAGGTGCAAGCAATTCTCATGCCTCAGCCTCTTGAGTATCTGGGATTCCAAGCATGCACCACTACACATGACTAATTTTGGTATTTTTAGTAGAAACGGGGTTTCACCATGTTGACCAGGCTGGTCTCAAACTCCTGACCTCAAGTGGTCCACCCACCTCGGCCTCCCAAAGTGCTGGGATTACAGGCATGAGCCACTGCACTAGCCTGATCTCATGTTTCTGAAATTTTTCAGCTTTATCAAAGTATAAATGAAATAAACTACATTGCACATATTTAAAGTGTTCAAACCCATAAAACCCTCACCACATCAAGATGCAGAACATTTCCATTGCCCCAGAAGTTTCCTCATGCCCCTTTGTTATCCCTCCAACCCCAGACAACCACTAATCTCCTCTCCATCACTGATTTTTTTTTTTTTTTTTTTTGAGATGAAGTCTCTGTTGCCCAGGCTGGAGTGTGGTGGCACAATCTCGGCTCACTGCAATCTTCACCTCCTGGGTTCAAAGGATTCTTATGTCTCAGCCTCCCGAGTAGTTGGGATTACAGGTGCCTGCCACCACGCCCAATTTTTTTTTTTATTTTTAGTAGAGACGGGCTTTTACCATGTTGGCCAGGCTGGTCTTGAACTCCTAACCTCAAGTGATCTGCCTGCCTCAGTTTCCCAAAGTGCTGGGATTACAGGTGTGAGCCACCTCGCCCGGCCTCCATCACTGAGTTTATTTCCCACAATGTTATATAAATGGAATCAAATAGTATGTACTCTTTTTCAAAACCTAGCTCTTTTTATTCACTCAGCTTACTCATTTAAGATTTATTTCTGTTGTTTGGTGTGTTTTCTGTTTTACTGCTGAGTAGTACTCTGTTGTTTGCTTGTACCACAGTTAATTTTTCCATTCACCTGTTGACAAACATTTCCAGGTTTTGGCTATCACAGGTTAGGTTGCTGTGAACATTTGTCTTTGTGTGGCTTCTTATGTCGTTTTATGTTTGCAGTAACCCACTAAGGTAGGTGGATAAACTCATTTCTTTTTGCAGACGAAGAAATGAATGCTCAGTGAGGTTAAGTAACTTGCCCAAAGAGGTAGGAAGTGGCAGGGGCAAGAATTCGAATATAGAATTCTGGAATCTTGGGCATCAAAGCTCTTGTGATGCCAGACTGC